AATATTCTCTTTGAAAAGTTAAATACTTATAGCTTATTTATATCAATATTTTATATTATATTTTTAAATATGTAACATTTTAGTACATTATTAAACATTTTTAATATTGTTTTACATGAATTACTTTATTGTAGCCCTTGCTCATTTTCCTGTTAGATCCTTTTTTTCTATCTTTTTTATTTAATTATTTTTCAAGTACAGTTTTCTATTTCTCCCATCCCAGCCGACCCTGCCCCGTGCTCCCCACCTCCCTCCTATTTCCACCCCCCTTAGTTATTGTCCATGTGTCCTTAATACTTGTTCCTCTAAATCCCTCCCCTTTTTTCCCCTTAAATTCCCTCCCCTCTCCCTTCTGGTCACTGTCCCCCTATTAGATCATTTTTTATTGATTTCAGAGTTCTTTATATATTAAAATGAGCCTTTAGTGTGAGATATAAATTGTAAATACTTTCTACTGATTTCTTTAGTTTTGACTTTGGTTATGGTATTTTTTTAATTCAGGGTTTTATTTATTTTTATTTAGTTGGCTTTTGATCATACATGAACTTCTGACATCTGATTTTGTGACATTTATATAATGCTTTTATTTTTGAAAATTTTATAGTTTTTTGCTTCTACTATTTAAATTTAAATACTTCATCCAAAATTTATTTTGTGGCATGATATGCAATATAGGTCCAATTTTCTTTCCAACTACCTACCCAGTTCTCGCATCACTGTTCATTGCATGATCCTGCTGTTTGCTCCTTACTTAAAATGCCACCTTCATTGTGATCTAAATTTCCACTTATATTTCACTCTATTGTACAGTTTTTTCCATGTATATTCATCGCTCAGTAACTGAGCTAACCAGGGCCTGTCCATGTGGTGCCTTGATGTGTGTCCCAACAAATAGTGATGAGGGAAATAGGTTTCTGTTTACAGGATTCCAAACTTGTGGGGGTGGAGCTGAGAGCACTCCTGCTCAGACACCTGTTCTACCACAAGACCCAGCACTTCTCTTGCTCCCCACCAGGCTATAATCCAAAAGCGTGCCCCAAAGTCCCCATATCCTTAGCTGTTCTTAAGCCAGCTGCACAAATGGGTCTCCATTCCTCTGCAAGATACACTCATGGATTCAGAATCGCCAACTTCTCACAGCGTCTCTCTCCCTTTCTGAATCTTTTGTAAATATATGTGGGGATCTCTGATTCTCTCATGTTGTGGAGATTCCATGTGTATGTGTGTATGAAATTTGGTTGTTTCCTATTGCTATTCTATCTCATGTCTGTTTGATTATAAAACCACCCCCAATGTCTGCTATAGGTTCACATACTGTGGGTGGCCAATCCCTACCTAGTACCCTCCCTGTGAGAACACATCCTCTTGCCTATAGCAGTTAGCCTCTTAGGGTTTTTGTCAATACTGAACCTCATGTATAGCTTTTAGCATGTGTTTCTTGAATGAAAATGAAATAAAGGTAGGTCAAAAAAGGAAGCAAAGAGCACTGAAATGTTTTGAAATTTTGAATGTATCAAAGACCTGTAGGTCCAATTCCCCTTTGGTTCTTCTCCAAGTGACCTGGAGTTTGCCTTCTCCTCCCCAGACCCCATACTCTACTCCACAGGTGTGCAGTGGTTCACACCTGTGCCTCCCTCCTCTCACCTTTGCTGCCACTTTAGGGCCCTGTGGCATTGAATTATTCCCTGCCTCTTAAATTTTAGTTTCCTCTTTGGCAGATTGGAAATTACAGCCATCTCATCAGTTGTTGTGAAGATAGAGAAGGTAGTGTGTAGAGGACAGTACCTGATATGGAAGAGCTCAAAAAAATGGTAACCTATTAATACTGATTAATGCCTCTCGATGAATCATTTACCTGACAAGAACCAATGAAATGTGTACATCAAGGCAACTTATCTTTCACTGTAGTTTCTGTAGGGTACTACTGTAAATTCTGGTCCAAAAAGCGTCTTCCCACCCACTGCTACCACCTGACTTCATCCCTTGCCCCAGGCTTGCTCTTGAATCACTGCTACTAGAATAAGCTCTTCTAAACCCAAATCAGAGAATCTATATTCTCTCTCTTAAACCATATGGCTCCCCATGTACCGGAAAAGTTTAATGTGCTTAGCAAAACTCACAGGAGCATAAGGCTCACCTCTGAAGTCCCCTTTCCACTCCAGCTCTTTAGATGTGCTCCTGGAGGCCCTTTTTGGGCTGGCCTGGTAGTTGGACACACTGCCCAGAAAGTCCTTCCCTTCCCTCTAGTGTTCCAGGCTGCCTGGTGAACTCCCACTCTATTTTCAAACCCCAGTTCACAAAGCTCATCCCCAGGGATGTGTTTGCTAAGTTACTGAAACAGAGCTGGTCATTGCCTTTCTAAGCCACCACGGTATTTAAAACACACTCCAGAGTTAGACCAAATGCATTAGACTGAGCTAGCTGAGCAATCCTGTCTTGTATGTTAATCATTTTTTAGTTACATATCTACTACTGGACTTGAGTCGCTTGAAGGTGAGGACAGTAGCTTTTTTTCTTTTTATTTCCATAGCCTGACCACCTGGTTGGATCTCAGGGAATGTCTGGTGACCTGCTTTGGGGAGTACAGGGTAAATGCCTCTAGTGGGATTGGCCTGGATGGGCCATGGACACTCCCCTGACACTGAAAATCTTTGGCCTTTTCCACTACAGGTGCTCTTCCTAATCTTGAGTTCTTCAGTTACAGGCTGGAAGCATATGAAGCCTACAAGAAGAGGTCTCTTACCAGTGACATGCTTGATGTGCAGAGAAAGGTTCACGAAGCTGATCTAGTAATATTTCATGTTTGTTGCCCTCTAATCATTACAAATGAATTAGATTCATTCTATATACAAACCCTTTCCAAATATTTAATGTCATACTCCTAGAGGTGGCAGTGGTGTTTTTAGCACATTTGCACACTCATTCATCTCTACTTGGATAAGAAGGTGCATGTACACAATATCAGTTATTCAAACTCCTGACCCCCAAGTACAAGGGAAATATTTAGCTATAGTTCAGTGGTTCAAGAAATGCCTGAATCATGCATTTCATGTTTCCTCATTCCCCTCTGACCCCCACCCCCAGATAGGCAGGGGCTGCATGAAAAGCAGCTTTGTCTATACCAAGTATAGCTTCTGCCTTAAATATCCTGATCATTGAAGAGGATCATCTTTAGTTTCCTTCCTCTCACTGGTTACCTCACCCGCCCACAATCCCTGTGTTCATTCACAAATTATTCCAGGGTCATGTGATTCACTATAGAAAGAACTGGCCCAGGACACTGCTGCTAGGGACTGTAACTCATCATGGCCACTCTATGCCACAGGCTTGCAGTCATGGATGTGTACCTTAGCCTGGCAGCAAAATAAACACATGCTTTTTGGGAGTCATTGGGTTGATGGAAATCAAAGTCAAACTGGAAAAAAAGGGGATGCAGAATTTATTCTAATGGCCCTGGTCACTTGGCTGTCCTGGAACCAAGACCAGACTGTGGCAGGGGAGAGTGGGAACAGAGGCTTGGACAGATTTGCTCTTTCTTTCCCCGAGTCTCGTTTCCTTCTCTCTGCCTGCTGGCTCTATCCTCTCGCTTCACACCAAGGACTGGAGTCTCTAGATCCAGAATCTCTCAGATGGAACTGACTGGTCCATATGGTCTGTTTCCAACCCTGACTGACTGCTGGAAGTGTCCAGGAAAACAAGATCACCCTTTTCCAGCACCAGGACAATGGAGTATCTCAGAGCTGGGCTCAGAACCACAGACAGCTCTCTAGCTCTTTTTCCGGTGTCCCTGGGATCAGCTGGCCACTCATGTAACTGGGTAGCTAAAGCAAGCCAAGCCCTGTTCTTTTTTTTAAATATTTTATTTATTTATCTTTAGAGGGGAGGGGAAGGAGAGAGGGAGAGAAACATCAATGTATGGTTGCCTTTTGTGCGTCCCCTGCTGGGAACTGGCCTGCAGGGAACTGGTCTGCAACCCAGGCATGTGCCCTGACTGGGAATCGAACCGCGATTGTCTGGTTCGCAGGCCTGTGCTCAATCCACTGATCTACACCAGCCAGGGCTCCAAGGCCTGTTCTTTTAATAATGTTTTTTTTTTAATCCGACCCCATGTCATATGTCATCTCCCACTCACCTCCCTTCTTTCTGACACTTTGCCCAGAAGGTGTATGATGCTAGCTTATTTCTTTCATTCAGCACCACTGCCACTGTCAGCACAGCTCACTCCTCACTGAATCAGTCTGCTCTGGGTCCTCATCACAATGCTGTGAGCTAGGAACTAGGAGTAGCTCTATTTGCAAACTAGGAAAGTGGGGCACAGAGTGCTTATATAACTTGCCAGTATCACAAAGCAGTAGGTTGTGAAGCTTGGATTTCAATGCCAAGTTCTGAGTTGGATTTATAGTGAAAGCACATGAAACGCAGGCTTCCTTTCCCCTGTAGTAACAGACTGTTGTCTGTGTCCAACTCTTTTCCTTGATGACAGTGCAGGATATGGTGTTAGGGCTTCCAAGGGAACTGAGAGAACTTCAGGGAGATCTTACTGCTGGTGTGTGGAAGCTGAGGGGAAGGGTTTAGTTTGTGTCAAAATTTGAAGCCTCCCAGAACCTAACTCGGTCTGACTCCCAGATGCCAGTTGTTCATCCCCAGGCACACACAGGGGCAGACTCTTTCTCTACACCCTTCCTCTCATTCTCTCCTTTGCATAGGTCACAGAGACTGCTGCCACAGAGCCAGTGTCTAGCAGAGGTTCCCAGTGCCTTTCTGTCTGCTCAGGAACCAGCATTCAGGGGCTGTCAGTGAGGAATGCACTGTCCCCTGTGATGACCTTGTCAACTCCTCCCCGCCCCACTCCACCAAAACACATCCACACTGCATGCCTCCCAGTGAAAGGGGAGAAATATCCTCAATGGTGATGCCCTGTGTGGGTTACACTTCACTGCTCAGTCACCCTGGAAGAGGACAGCAGGGTTCCTTTTGAGTCACCAGAGACTAAACTGTGAAACCTGAGACAACCACAGCATCTGTTTGTCCTTGGTGTTGTCCCTAGTTCCCGCTGTACTGGTTCAGTGTGCCGGCCATCCTGAAGGGCTGGATGGACAGGGTGCTGTGCCAGGGGTTTGCCTTTGACCTCCCAGGATTCTATGATTCCGGTTTTCTCAAGGTATGTTCTCTGGGATACGGATCACTACGGACCAAGGAAGGGATGGGATGCATCTCACCACGTTATACTTCTAGTTTGCTTTTTCAAAAACAAGTACTGATTGAGCACCTGCTATGTGCAAAGAAAGCCCTGTGTGCTGCCCTTGGGTGAAAAACACAATTGTTCCTGAAGTCTTGGAGATTTGTCTTTCAAGTAAGGGAAACAGGTGCACCCACACCTCTCTGGTGCATGACTAATGGCCTGGGCTGGTGTCAGGAGGGTGGACTGGCCCATAGGCTGGTCAGCCCTGGCTCTGAGAGGGCTGTCTGCTCTGCCCCTGGACTGAGTCTAGCCCTGGCCTCACCCAGTTCACATCTCAGAGCTTCACATGGAACCTGGTAGATACCCAATACATGGAGGCTGTGAATTTCTTACTAAAATACATGACTTTTAAAATGCTAAAGGGTTCGGAAAATAGTGCATGCAAGGAAAACACTGAGTCACAGATCCAGCTTGGACTAGATGTAATGCTACCATTTACTACGTGGGGCCATGCATGGGCACCGCCTGCCACCTCATTGTCCTCCCCGCTGCCCAGGGTGTGCCTGGGCCTCACCCACTTCTCACCCCACGGCACCGAACCCTGCTCTCTGCTGGAAGTAGGGGCAGGGCAGAGCTGGGTAGTGACCCAGTGTATTCCCTGTGACTGCTCCTGGTCATTGTAATGCTTGTGCTAAAGTCATGGTAGCATTTCTTTGTCTCCTCCTCTGGAGCTCACATAAGTGCATTTGCTTTCTCCACTGCAGGATAAATTGGCCCTCCTCTTGATAACCCTGGGAGGCACAGCTGCAATCTGCAGAAAAACTGGAGTCAGTGGAGATTTTAAATACTTCCTGTGGCCCCTCCAGGTAGCCACTGTACCTCACCCCGTCTCTCCTTCCCTCCAAGCTTTCCCTGGTTCAAAATGAGATGCACCTGAAGCCTGAAACCTAGACCATTTTGACTCCACCTGGATACAGGAAATTATAACATTCTACTTTTTAATTTTTTACTTAGTGGCAATGCAAAGGCTGGCCAATAGGGACAAACATGTATTATAATGATATGCTTCAATATAGTTTGAGGGGAATCTAAGCCAAACCTGGTTAGCTGAATCAACTCCACAGTAAGCAGGATTGTCCCACGTGGCCCTGTGGGGGCACTGAGGGCCACAGAGCTGTAGTGTCCTGCAGAGGCCATGCTCAAGCCCTGGCTAGAGGTGCCAGAGGAGCCCGGCATTCTGGACAGCCTCACCTGCTGTACAGGTGAGGCTCACAGAGCCAGGGGCTGTGCCTCCTCCCCACAGTGCCCCCACTCCAGGTTCCCAGCACTCGGGGCTCAGAGACCACTGTCCCAGGTGAATCCCAGCTGCCTACATGGGCACTGCTGGGCGCTGACCAAGAGGCAGCCACAGATGGCTGTCTGCAAAGGGGCAAGCAGTGGGCAAGACTTGTGGGAGAAGAAAGAGAGCTCTGCTCAGGCCACCAGATGGCAGTAAAGAATTCCACAGAGACCCAAAAACCTAAATGGGAACTGTCCTTCCAAGTTATGCAGGGAAGTAATGGTGACATTTTTACGTTTGTAAGCTCCCTTTCACTTTTTGTTTTAAGACTATTTTTAAAAAGAGAGAAGAGAGGGAGAGAAACATGAGTGTGTGGTTGCTTCTCACATACCCTCTACTGGGGATCTGGCCCTCACCCAGGCATGTGCCCAGACTGGGAATGGAACTGGCAACCTGTTGGTTTGCAGGCTGGTGCTCAGTCCACTGAGCTACACCAGCCAGGGCTGTGATCTTACTTTTAAAGTGTGACAGTGATGTGTGGGCCTCTTGACCGCCCACCACCCTGATGGGGCAGGCCTGGACAGGGCTGTGGGTTTTCAGGGAAGGAATGCAAAGAGAAGTGAGTGATATTTTGAGAGGAGGAGGAGGGGAGGGAAGTGGTCGTGTTTGAAAAAGATGACACAGTGATTTCATTTAGTGATGCTGTCCTTAAAGAAATGATCATTTACAAGCCTGAACCTTTTTCTCCATAGTCCATCTGGTCTTATATGCCATTAGCCCAGCTTAAATTTTTCTTCTTGTTTAGAAATTTTTATATTTTTTCAGTTTACAAAGGTATATAGTATAGAAAAAAGTGAGGCTATAAAATATAAAAGTCGAAAGTCCTCTTAATTTCACCTTAAATATAATCACTTCTAATAATATGGATTTCCTTATGGCTCATATATATTTTTACTTATATGATTTGTATTATTGATTCATTATTATTATTTTTACTTAAATGGTATATCATAATTGTTGCTTCAAACTCCTTATTGTTTTCATTTACCATATATCTTAACCTTCCAGGTGGCACATTATAGCTAGAAGAATCTCATTCTAGAATAATCCATCCTATGATTATATCATAATTTGCCTAATCAATCAAAATCATGACATTTAGTGCCTGAATCAGTAGCAAAGATTACATATTAATCTCAATTTTCATAACAGAATTTGGAACTTTCAGTTGCCTTGAGTTCGCCTCCCTGATACAGGCCAGCGTCCTAAGGTTATGGGACATTTAAATTATTTTTACTCACCCACTAGCATTAAAGTTGCTCAGTTGTTTTTTTGAAGTTTTGTTTCATACCATCTCTCTTAGATTATTTAACTGAATGATATGTAAAGGTTATAGCTTCTAATTAATTCCTTTCTTTCTCTGTGTCTATAGCATGGTGCATTGCACTTCTGTGGATTTAAAGTCCTTGCTCCTCAGATCAGTTTTGCTCCTGAGTTTGCATCAGAAGAAGAAAGAAAGGGGATGATGGCGTCTTGGGCCCAGAGGCTGAAAACCATCTGGAGGGAAGATCCCATCCCCTGCACGCCCTCTTGGTACTTTGGGCAGTAACGCTGTCTGTCATGTACACATCACTTGAGCAACACACTAGTAGGTGCGAGCACGTGCAAAGAGAAGATGATGCTGTAATAACATGAAATGACAACAAACTTAGCTGCATCTAATTGCTGATGTGCATGAATGAGTGTCTTCATGGTTTTATATGGCCAGACCCAAAAATCCAGTAATCAGCTGGTTGAATTGAATTCTAGTCTAATATCATTATTCACCCAGGCTTTCTTTTCTTTTCTTCTCTAACATCTTTCTGTCCCCCTATATTCAATCTTCATGGATAATGTTGTTTTCAGATATTTCTCTTGATATCAGGCTGCATCTGACAGTTTTGTGTTGTACTTCATAACTTCAGAGCTTCTATTTTTTTATAGGAAAGATTAATCTTCTCTTAGCTAGCATTATAGTGCTGTGGACTTATTTTTACATCTTTCTTTTAACTTGCATTATGACTATGGAGTTTTAAATGAACAGCCATTTAAAATATATTTAAAATCATTGAGTGCTGATTACAATGAAAAACAGTAGTCCAGTGGCAGCCTACAATATCATGATGCATGTGTTCATGTAACATTTCTAATAATTAGCCCACGGTGTTGGTGCAGGTAGGTGGATGTATCCCCCTAAAAACAAGTTGAAGTTACTAAATCTTCTCTTCCTCCTCCTCCTCCTCATAATCACTACTGAGGACAAAGCCACCACTTGTGGACAGGGGCCCTTCACCCACTGCAGGTTCCTTCACACCAGACACGGCATCTACTTCTCACTGGACTCTTCTCTTCAAACACCACCTTGTTGGAATCCTCATCTTCCACCACTTTTCACCTGCATCATCTCCCTCCTCCTAGGCATCATCAGCCCCTCCCCCTCTGCGTGTTCTTCCTCCTCTTTTCCATCTGGTGCATCATTGAATACTTTTCCACATTCGTCTTCTTCCTTTGCCTCTGAATTTTCACACTCTCAGAACTTTCCTCGTCACTCACTCAGACCCATCATCATCAAATTCTAATTTATCAGGGTCATTTCTCCTAACATTTTTTCAACACCACTATCTTCTAGTAATTTTTGGAACCATTTCAAACTGTTTTTCAACACAGTTTTCAGATTCTCTTCGCAAGACATCTTCTTCAGACCCTTTTTGGGGCCATTCTCTCTTCGGGTTCCTTTTCAGGGTCACCTTCAGGCCTCTCACAGAGCCTTTCTTGCCATCATCTCTTTTGAGCCTCTTCTTTTTAGGGCCTTCTTCCAGACCATTCTCTACTTGCTTTAGGAACTTCCTTAGTCACACTGTCTGTTAGGGCCATGTTCTTTAGCACCTTTTTTCAAAATCTCCCCCATCTTCTATCTTTTCAAATATCTTGTCATGTATAGTTTATTTTGAAAAGATTTAATCCAGTATTTATTCCACACTCATGATCATTTTCTAAAGTCAGAATATATCACAAAAGCAATCTGTCAAGTAACTTTCCAATCTTAAATAACACAGCATAGGATTACTTTTAATATGTCTCTGTTCTAGATTAATTTTTAAAAGTAATCTTCATTATCAATAAAAATGAGTGAATTTTTAGAAAAGAACACTACATCAAACTTCCATAAGTATTTTTTATTTATAAAAATGCTCTGGAACCTTGAGACATGCATCTAATCCCTGACTCTGCCCCTCTGCCCCGCCCTCTCAGTTCCCCGTGAGCACAGCATTGCTGCAAGAATGCTCAATGAGACATTCACCTTTCCCTTTCTTTTTTTTTTAACTATTTACTTTTTTTTATTGATTATGCTGTTACAGTTGTTCTATTCCCCCTTTATTCCCCTCCACCCTACCCCCCATCCCCACCATCACCCCCCCTTTAGTTTATGACCATGTGTCTCAAGTCGTTTAGATTCTATATTTCCCATACTATTCTTGCCCCCCCATCTATTTTCTATCTACTGTCTATGCTACTTATTTTCTGTACCTTCTCCCCCCTTCTCCTCCTCCCACTCCCCTGTTGCTAACCCTCCTTGAGATCTTCATCTCTGTGTTTCCACTCCTGATCTAGCTGTCCTTTAGTTTGCTTTCGTTTTAGGTGTGGTTGTTAATAGCTGTGAGTTTGTTGTCCTTTCACTGTTCATGTTTCTTTAACTTCTTTTTCTTAGATAAGTCCCTTTAACATTTCATATAATAAGGGCTTGGTGATGATGAACTCCTTGAATTTGATCTTATCTGAGAAGCACCTTATCTGTCCTTCCATTTTAAATGAAAGTTTTGCTGGATAGAGCAATCTTGGTTGTAGGTCTTTAGATTTCATGACTTGGAATACCTCTTTCCAGCCCCTTCTTGCCTGTAAGGTCTCTTTTGAGAAATCCGCTGACAGTCTGATGGGGACTCCTTTGTAGGTGACTGTCCGCTTAGCTCTTGCTGCTTCTAGGATTCTCTCCTTCATTTTAATCTTGGCTAATGTAATGATGATGTGCCTTGGTGTGTTCCTTCTTGGGTCCAACTTCTTTGGTACTCTCTGAGCTTCCTGGATTTCCTGGAAGTCTATTTCCTTTGCCAGATTGGGGAAATTCTCCCTTTATTATTTGTTCAAATAAGTTTTCCACTGGTGGCTGTGCCTTTCCCCCTTCTGGTACCCCTATAATTCGGATGTTGGAGCGTTTAAAGATGTCCTGGAGGTTCCTAAGACTCTCCTCATTTCTTTGAATTCTTGCTTCTTGACTCTTTTCTGTTTGGCCATTATTTGCTTTCTTCTGGTCCACTCCATTGATTTGAGTCCCAGTTTCCTTTTCATTGCTATTGGTGTCCTGTGCAATTCCATTCATTTCAATTAGTTTCACCTTCATATATTTGTCTAATTTGTCCGTATAATCAACCAGTTCTCTGAGGATCCTGATCACCAATTTTTTAAACTGTGTGTCTGTGAGTTTTGCTATTTCTTCATCGCTTAGATTTATTTCTGGGGCTCTGAGATCCTCCTGCGCCATTCTTGGTCTGTTCGGGCCCTTTAAGTGTGAGAAGCGGCGCCTTGGATTCCCAGGTCGCTGGGTTGTGACGCTGTATGTGGGGGCGTGGCCAGAGCGGGAAATGGCGACCCCCTCTGCCGCTTCTCACAGCTGGGTGGAGGAGCAGTGCCTTAGGTGGTTCACCTGGGCCTGGCCACTCAGAGTCGCTGGGTTATGACGCTGTATGTGGAGGTGGGGTCAGAGCAGGGAAATGGTGGCGCCCTCCACTGCCGCTTGCAGTGGGGACCTGCCGGCCTGGTCCAACCGCCCACTTCCTCGCCTGTCCACCCTCGCACAAATGTGCGACCTCAGTCAACATGCAGCCCCGGCCCGGCTGTCTCCCCCGAGGTCGCTCGCCTGGTTGCTCGCTGGGTCGCTCCCTAGGTCTGACCCTGCGTCTGGATTCCCCGGGCCTGAGTGTGTCTGGCCGAGTCCTCCTGTGCAACCCTGCTCCACCAGCCGCTGGTTTCGCCCCTTACCGGTCAGGCTGAAGAATTTGTTGTTAACGGACTTCTGAAAAGTTCAATTTTCCGTGTTCTGACTGTGTTTTCTGTTGCTAATATTTAATTTTCTCTAATCTTGGTTGTGGGAGAAGGCACGGCACATCCACCTATGCCTCCATCTTGGCGGAAGTCTCACCTTTCCCTTTCATACAGTACTTTAACATCTGAGAAATTCCAGAAAAACATTATATCGTGTATTTTTTCTTTTTTTCCATTTTAAAATCTTTTATTTTTCAATTACAGTTGACATGCATTATTATATTATTTTTGAGTGTACTGTCATGTATTTTTTTCAAATTAAAACTGAATTTTAGGCATTCTAACAGTGTCCCTTTGAGGTAAAATGCTAAAAGGCCTTTTGATCAACTCACAGCCTAATTTCAATCTCTGCATCAGAAACTAACTTTTAATAAAGTTGAATGTTAAAACTGGAGAATATGTAGTATAACACATTAATGAGCCTTCCAGGATAGTACAAGTGGACATGTATGTAATCTTAAAACTAATTGCTTCCTTCATGTATATTGAAAGCACATAACTCTCCTGTAATAGACACTCAATATCCATTCTCAAAGTCTTTGTCATTCTATTAAGAAAAGCACAGCCATGCTAACTTTGGTACATAAACCACAAACACACGTAAAATACAAAAACAGAACTAGTGCCTTATACAAATTTAACCAACATGGACACCATGCCAAAGTCATTAAAATACTTTTAGGACATGTACAAACTGTACATCTCCAAAACAATAAAATACAAGAGCTATCTGCATCATGTATCAAACTCAACAACTGGGTAGAAACATTAAGGCAATAAATGGAATTACAAAGGCACTTCCCTATACAATAGAAAGTGAAAATGCAGTTTGGAGACTGTGTACTACTGCAACAGTCTCAACTCTGAAGGGGTAAGAAAAGCAGATTTAATCAAATATTTATAGAATTCAACATGATCTACTTCCACATAACATTTTGTGAGTATGCTACTTTCCTTGTCTTTTTGGCTCCTTTGACAATCGTATTTGTCAGACTGGTCCTTTCTGCCATCTCTGTTGTGGGAATGGTCTTTGCTACTGACTAGTGTATAGTTTCTTTACACCATGTTAGTTGTGGCTTCTTGAACATTCATCCTCAATGTGCTAGGGTGCTCTGGAAACGTCCTAGTGCAGAAGACCCTGATCTTTAAAGCAGATGTGCAGTTTGAACACAGCACCTGCCTCTTTTGGGCTTGGGGCACTCAAGAAAGTTTCCCATTCTTTCAGCCTTTCTTTCCTTTCTCCTGGGGTATCCTCAGCCTGGTCATCTGTGCCCACCTCATGTTTGGACAGGGATTTGACAGCCATCCCACCAGCTTCAACTGAGTGTTTGAGTACAGTGATCAGCTTCCTCAAGGACACAGAGGTTACACCATCTGGGTGTCTGTCAAAGGGAAGGGGCTTTCTAATTGGCCCAAACAATTTTTAAAATTTATTTTTATTATATTTTTCCATTACCATTTCCCCCTTATACCCTCTTCCACCTCCACCCCACCCCCCAATCACCATACTGTTGTCCATGCTCTTGAATCCTTTCTCTTTTTTCCTTGGTCCCTCCACCCCATAATGCCCCAGCCCCAAGCTGTCAGCCTGCTCTCTATCTATGCACCTGTCTTTATTTTGCTTGTTCAGTTTGTTCACTAGATTCCACATGTAAATGAAAGCATATGGTATTTGTCTCTCTGGCTGGCTTATTTCACTTAGCATAATGTTCTCCAGGTCCATCCATGCTGTCACAAAGGATAAAAATTTTTTTTTTATGACCAAGTAGTGTTCCATTGTGTAAATGTATCATTGTTGTTTTATCCACTCATCTACTGATGGACACTTGGGCTGCTTCCAAATCTCAGCTCTTGTAATTGGCCTAAACTTTGAACATTCTCCTTACAAGTTTTCTCTGACCTCATTCAGCACCAATGGACCATCCTCAAAAGCCATAGGATGAGATATCTTTTTTGATGACAACTCTCTCATGGTGAGTTCAGGATGGTCCAGCAGTCCAGCTGCTTTCATTGCAGGGGAAGCTGCCTCCTGTGGTGCTTGCCCCTCTTCTTTTCTAAGCCTCATATTCCCCTTCAGTTGAAAGTTGATCCCCTCAACATGCACTTTCTAGCTTCTAATTTTACCTTCATTCAAAACTATTAATACAGGACTTCTGCCAAGATGGAGGTGTAGGTGGAAACACCTTGCATCCTCACACAACCAAATCTACAAACAACAAAGTTTTAACAATAATAAATGCAACCAAACCACACAGAAAATCGACAATACAGAGTCCAAAAACAATGAAATGGTCAGCTAAACTGGTAAGAGGGGCGAAGCCAGCAGTGGAGCAGGTTGGCCAAAAAGATCCCCAACCAGGGTGGTGCGCAGGCTGCCAAAGGCACGAATCCCAGGTGTGGGCTAGCTACGGGCAGACATAGGGAAGAGGCGTGGCTGTCTGTCTGCAGTCAGTCGAGCATTTGTGTGCAGATAAACCAGTGAAGAGGCGAGCATTGAGCCTGCATGGTGCAGGGTGGCGGGCTCACACATTTCTGCTCAGATAAACAGGTGGGGGTGAGCAGTGGGACAGACTGGGTGAGCCAAGAGGACCGCCATTGCTCCCTCTCTGACCCCTGCCCCACATGCAGTATAACAAA